GGTCACTGGTGACTCTGGTGCTGCTGCGGGAGCTGAGCCTGAGGGTGCGGGGTCTGGGGGTGCTGAGCCTGGGGGTACTGTGCCTGGGAGTGCTGAGCCTGGAGGTGTCGAGCCTGGGGGTGCTGTTCCTGGGGGTGCTGAGCCTGGGGGTGCTGAGCCTGGGGGTGCTGAGCTTGGGGGTGCTGTGCCTGGGGGTGCTGAGCCTGGGGGTGCTGAGCCTGGGGGTGCTGTGCCTGGGGGTGCTGAGCCTGGGGGTGGTGAGCCTGGGGGTGCTTCGTCTCGCCGGGAGCCACTCTCCCCACAGGAGCTGCGTGAGTGGTTTACCAGACGCTGGAGGCGTGCTGCTGGTGCTGGTGGTTCTTCGCCTGCAGTGGGTACTGCTGCCGCGCGTCCCGACGGTGCTCGTACTGTGGGTGCTGGAGCTGCTGGGTCTGAGAGTTCTCCTGGAGCTGGTCCTGCTGAGGGTGTTGGCGCTGAGCCTGCCGCTGGTGGTCCGACTGACAGTGCTCCTGGTGCTGCTGCTAGGGGTTCTGGAGCTTCTGGAGGTGCTGCTGGAGGTGCTGCTGGCGTGGGTGCTCCTGACGGGGGGACTGGTGCTGTTCCTGCTGTTTCTGGTGTCGCCGTGCGGCCTCGACCGTACTTCGTTCCGCTCCTGCAGCAGGTTCTTGGTCTTGCACCTCCTCCTACTTCCTTAGAGGGTCCACAGCCTGTTCGGTCACAGCCACAGCTACAGCCTGCCTCCCCTTTGCCTGCTCCTTCTCCCTACGCTGGTCCGACTGGAGGTCTTACTGAGCGTCGTGAGCCTGCGTCTCGTCCTGCGTCGCCTGTTCGTACTGCGCGCGCTAGTGGTCGCGGGTCGCGTCAGCGTCCTCCTCCTGTCCCTGGCACGCACCGGATGTCACTGCGTCCGTCCACTGCTCCTCTGCGTGCCCCTTTGCCTTCTCCTCCTGCTTCCTCTCTTCCTGCTCTTGCCGACCCGGAGTCGGACTCTCTTCGTGCTGCCAGTCCTACTGTCACGCGTCTCCTTGCTACTGCAGTCACTGACCCTTCCTTTGAGTCGTCTGCTGCGTCTGCCCTTGTCACTGAGCTTGTCGACTTTGCTGCGCGCTGTCGTCTAGACTACGCTGCTCGTCTTGTCGCTGAGTCTGAGTCCGCCTGTCCTCCGTCCGTCGGGGGTGAGTGTGCCCTTGGCACGGACGTCCTAGAGGACAGGCAGGAGGAGTTACAGTGTCTAGCGGCTGCTTCACCTCATCTCGCGTCTGTACTGCTTGCCCCTGAGGGAGACCCGGATGCACTAGACATCCCGACTCCGCGTTCTTACGCGGAGGCCGTAGAGGGTCCCTACTCCTCTCAGTGGCAGGCAGCTATGGATGCAGAGATGGCTTCCTGGAAGTCCACAGGCACCTACGTTGACGCGGTTCCCCCTCCTGGGGCGAACATCGTCAGTGGCATGTGGATCTTCAGGGTGAAGCGGCCGCCGGGCTCCCCGCCTGTCTTCAAGGCGCGTTACGTGGCTCGTGGCTTCAGTCAGCGGCAGGGAGTTGACTACTTTCAGACCTTCTCTCCCACCCCGAAGATGACCACTCTTCGGGTGCTGCTGCACATTGCCGCTCTGCGCGACTACGAGATTCACTCCCTCGACTTCAGCACTGCGTTCCTGCAGGGTAGCCTGCACGAGGAGATCTGGCTGCGCCGTCCGCCTGGCTTCACTGGGACTTTCCCTCCTGGCACCCAGTGGAGCCTCCGACGGCCAGTCTACGGTCTCCGCCAGGCACCGCGTGAGTGGCACGACACACTGAGGACTACGCTTGCGGCTCTTGGGTTTGCTCCTTCTACTGCTGACCCGTCGCTGTTTCTTCGCACCGACACTTCCCTGCCGCCGTTCTACATCCTCGTGTACGTCGACGACTTGGTCTTTGCCACAGCGGACACTGCTGGACTCGCCTACGTGAAGTCCGAGCTGCTGAAGAGACACACGTGCACAGACCTGGGTGAACTGCGCAGCTACCTTGGCTTGCAGATCACTCGGGACAGAGCACGTCGCACCATTACCCTGACTCAGTCACACATGGTGCAGCAGGTCCTTCAGCGCTTCGGCTTCACGTACTCCTCGCCTCAGGCCACTCCTCTGCCTACTCGCCACTCACTCTCAGCTCTGCCTTCGGATGAGTCCGTAGAGTCGAGTGGTCCGTATGCAGAGCTTGTTGGCTGCCTCATGTACCTGATGACCTGCACACGACCTGACCTTGCATACCCTCTGAGGATTCTTGCACGCTATGTTGCTCCTGGGAGACACAGACCGGAGCACATGGCTGCAGCGAAGAGGGTATTGCGCTACCTGTGCAGTACGTTGGGCATGGGGCTAGTGCTTGGAGGGCGGAGTCCAGTGGTCCTTACCGGCCACGCGGACGCTTCTTGGGCTGACGACCAGGCTACGCAGCGGTCGTCACAGGGTTACACCTTCAGCCTTGGTTCCGGTTCTGTCTCGTGGCGGTCTACTCGCTCGTCTTCGGTTCTCGGCTCCAGTTGTGAGGCTGAGATCTACGCCGGGGCCATGGCTGCACAGGAGCTTTGCTGGCTCACCTACCTGCTGACCGACCTTGGAGAGCCGCCTCGTTCTCCTCCAGTGCTGTACGTAGACAACAAGGCCATGCTGGCCTTGTGTCGAGAGCAGCGCTTGGAGCACAGAACGAAGCACATTGCTCTCCGCTACTTCCTTGCTCGTGAGCTGCAGCAGCGTGGTCAGTTGCGACTTGCTTACGTGGCCTCTGAGGCCAACACTGCTGATGTGTTCACCAAGGCACTTGCGCCTTGTGACCATCAGCGCTTTTGTACCCAGCTGGGTCTTGTACCTGTCTTGCCTCACTTGCTCTCTTCTTGACTTTACTTGTACTTTGTCATATATATACCTGCTCCTGCTTGTCTAGTTTTATATATGTGTCTGTACTCCTGCATGTGAACTGGCCTCTGGCCCTGCTCTTGTGCTCGGACTGTGTGGTGACTTTGTGATCCACCCTGAGCTTGCTTTGCTTTGCTTTGCTTGACTGGTCTTGTGACCCCTTGTTCTCCCCCACTTTGCCTATGGGGGTGTGTCAGATTATTATAGCTGATGCATGTTTGTAGGCTATAGTGGGGTAGCACATATGGGGTACAGTTTGCTAGGGTTGTATTTGTACCCAACTCTGACTTAGTCAATTCATTCCCGTTCAGTTAGTTTCACAGATGGACTTCGTCACAGGGTTACCAGCTGGGGCGAGTGGGAATGACGCGATCCTGGTCGTCGTCGATCGACTAACGAAGATGGCACATTTCGCAGCATGCAGGAAATCAATCACAGCCGAAGAAACCGCCCGACTATTCATCACCACCTTCGTTCGTCTGCACGGGATACCAGCGTCGATCATCAGCGACAGGGACACGAAATTTACCAGCAACTTCTGGCGGAACATGTGGCAGCAGTTCGGCACACGACTCCAATTCAGTTCATCCTATCACCCCGAAACCGACGGACTGACGGAACGGACCAATCAGACAATGGAGCAGCTGATTCGAGCCACGTGTGACGATCCAAACACATGGGAGCAGCAGCTGCCTCTCATCGAGTTCGCATATAACAATGCACCATCAGCTACGACGCAACAGTCGCCATTTTACTTGAACTACGGACAGGACCCAACAGTACCCATGACACCGAATCTCGACAACCCCGTCCCACGAGCACAACAGTTCGCCGAGATTTTGCAAGCAGCACGGACCAGGGCAGCAGAAGCAATAAAAAAATCAAATATCATCGCTAAGCGCAACGCCGATCTCCATCGCAGACCCGTCACTTATCAGCCCGACGACCTCGTTTTACTCGACACTCAGAACCTCCGCCTGCCCATCACTCCCAAACTCCGCCCTCGATACTGTGGGCCATTTCGAATCAGTCACATGATCACGCCTGTCACCGCGCACCTCCTCCTTCCTGCTGACTGGTACGTCAGCCCCTCGTTCCACGTCAGTCTGCTTCGCCCTTACGTACCATCCACCAGCCAACTCCCACGACATCGACCCTCCAGCATGACACGACCGCCAACCGAACCAGTTATCACACCCGATAAAATCCTGAGCCACAGAGTTCGTGACCCTCGAGGAGCCCGAAAAGTGGAGTTTCTGATCCGCTGGAAAGATCGTACCCCCACCGAGGACAACTGGGTTCCCCTGGACAAGGTTGAAAACCACCCCGTCGTCGTGGACTATCTGCGCAGCCGAAATTTCAGGGACATCCATGCGCTTTCGTAAGGAGGACCTCATTAGGAGGGGGGGTAGTGTAAGGAAATTCCCTTTTCCTTACTTCGCGTCCCTGCTCAACGCGTACATCACTGTAGCACCTCAGTCAGCACCGTTACCACTCGCGATCATCGCATCATTTCATCATCCCGCCAATTTCGCACATCGCATCCCGACCTCACGGCTCGGCTGGTAACCCGCGCTCCGGGCCTACGCTTCGACACTTTCCCAACCTCAGTCCCAGGCTCGTCGCGCGACCATTACCGTTACCACTGTAGTTTCGCTATATAATGTTCGCTCATGCCTTCGCTCATTGGACTTTTGCTTCGATAGTGCAATTCTCGTTCGTTCACTCAATTGCACTCGTAACACTATTCCTCCTCATTTGACTTCCACAGCGCATACATCTATGTTTAGGAATGGCCATATCACACCATAACACTGCTACAGTTCACCTTGAATGGGTGTAGTGTATAAATCACCATAAGTGCAGAAGAGCGACAAATTGATGCAGAAATAGATGGAGTAATTTGTCTAGGCATTGATGGCAAAAGTGGTTTTTTTTTTATGGCACAGTGCCAAATCATGGATGAAACACAAATAGAGGAATGAACTCACTCCCAACAGACCGTTCCATCCAGCACACCCAGGCCTAGAACCCCACTATCTTACTGCATCTATCCCTCCCTCCCACAACATCCCAACAGACACAAACCACACCTCCTAACTCACTCTGCATCCGCATCCTCCCCACCACCACCAGCACCACCACCACCTCCCTCTTTGGGCCCATCCTGCGCCGCCATGTGCCTCTGCACTAGCCGCTGCAGGTCCGACATCACCTTGTGCTCCCTCTTCGCCTTCTCCTCATAGTTAAACATCGCCAGCGCCCTCTTATCCTCCGCACTGTACACCTGGTTTTCCTTTCGGATACGGATAGCATTCATCCTCTGGTGCCTGCTTCCACTCATCACATACCCGAGCTCTTCAAACTTGGAAATCTCGTCCGCCGACAGACCCACCTCACCACGACGGGGAATACGCTTCCCTTGCTGCACGTACTGCGCAATGGCATCTCCTTCTCCAGGACGCAGCGCCCCTCCGTAACTAATGTGCCCCTCCGCTTTGGCCGCGGGCGCTGGACCGACAAATGGCTCGGCTTCCATGGCGGCGAGCTGTGCGCGCTTCTGCTCTTCCACATACTGCTTGAACAGGAGCACTTCAGGGTCCATCTCCTCATCGTCCTCGCCACCTCCCCCTTCCTCGTCGTCCTCCTCTTCCTCCTCGCCTTTCTCGCTTCCGCTCTTCTTCCCGGCTTTGCCCGCTTTCCTTGCGCGCTTCTTGGCCCCTCCGTCGCTCTCGTCGCCCGCGTCGCTGGACGACTCGTCCTCGCTCGAGCCGCTCTCGCTCTCTTCGTCCTCGGATTCAGAATCGGATTCGTCCGACGACGAATCATGACGGCTGCGACGTCGTCGCCTGCTGCCCTTGCTGCTGCCCCGCCCTTTCCGCTTCTTCTTGCTCTCCTTACTCCGTTTCTTCCCTCGCTTTGACTTCTTGCTGCTACTTTTCCGCTTCTTCCCCTTCCCTTTTTTCTTCCGCCTGTCCACTTCCGAATCGCTACTCTCATCGTCACTCTCCTCATCACTCTCCCCATCGCTGCTATCACTGTCCTCCGACCGCTTCCGACCCTTGCCCTTGCCTTTCACGCCGACTCCATCCTGCTTCTCCTTCCTCTTTTTCGCGAGCCGTTCATCGTCCGACGAACCGCCCTCTCCGCTTTCCTTCCCGTTCTCCAACGCCTCTTTCACTCCGCCGCTCGCCCCCTGCTTAGCACCCTTGTCCTCCTTACTTTCGCCGCCGCCTCCCTTTGCATCCCCCACTTCGTCCTTCTTATCTCGTTCCCCGACCGCATGCACATCCCCGTTTGTCAATCCGTCCTGCTCCCTCTCCTTCCCCGCATCCCCACTCCTCCGTTCACCATCACTTTTATCCCTCTCGTCGTCCTCCGATTCGCTCCTGCTGCCGCCCTTCGCATGCCCGTTCGCTTCCGCCGGCGGCGCAGGAATCGGCGGGCGATCCCGGGGCGGGCTGGGAGTGATGCGCCAGAGCAGGCGGCGGTGCAGGCGGCGCATCTTCTCGCGCTTCTTGCACCGAAACTCCGAGTACTCTAGCCCCTGCAGCTCCGGGTCGTTCTTATCCTCAAGCTCCTCCCAGTCATCGTCGCGGCTCGCCGTCCAGTGGTTGTCGCAACGACCTTCCCCGTGGTGCGAACGCGAGTCGCGATGGTAGTCGTCGTGAGAGTGCGAGTGGGAGGAGTCGCGATAGCGGTCGCGGCTACCGCTATCATGCCACGTGTCCGTGCCCATGAGATCGATCCGTTTAACGAGAACCGGAGGTTGCTAAAACTGTCACACGTAAATTAATTATGTGAAATGGTCGAAATGATCGGGACACTCGGACAAACACGACGCCGAACCTGTAGTTTGCTAAGAGAAAAGATGGACAAGGTTAGGGTTACGGGGAAATGAGATGAGTGGGGAGATGGTGGGTGGGAAAGGCGGGAAATGCAACCACGCGTGGATGGGATGCGGGGACGCAGGAGATGGGGGAGAGGGGAGAGGGGAAGCGAGTGGCGAGTGGCGGAAGGGGGATGGCAGTGCTGCGGCCTCAGCAATAACTCCACAGGCGACCAAATGTCCTAAGAAACATGATTGTAATGAATATGAATTCATTACTGTAGAGGCTGTTCCTAGCGAGGACAACACCGAGCACTTCGCGTCAGTTTCGAGGTTCGGCCTACATTTCGGACCGAACCACCGACGAGTCGCTCCGCACCAATCGCGACACTTCCAAACCCATCCACGTCCCGAGGTCCTCGCCTAGCACGATTTCGACCCTATAAATGCTTGCTTCTTTATGATTCTCGATGCTGGATTCGACATCCTTTTTATTGTTGGGCTGAGACGCCCTAGGATCTTTGTAGAGTTTAAGTCTGAGTAGATGTTGTAATAGCGGAAGCGTTGAATAAAACTCTTGAACCACCTTGCGCTAGTATGTGAGGGCAAAAGTGAGTTGATTAAAGCAAAGAGGTACAAGAATATAAATAGATGAGTACAGAGAATATGAAGAGACATTATAACTGATTTTACTGTTGCGATTCGATACAATGCGACTCGGGCAACTGCTCAATGTCGAGTCAGTTGTTTGTCCTTGCTGTCGCGCTGTGTCAGGTTAAAGGTCGCTGACCTTTGACTTTCCTGTAACCTCTGACGGTTTTGTTAACCGCTTTAGTTGACTCGCCATGCTTCGACTTGAGCTGCTTCGCTTTGTGCTTTGAGTTCTGACACGACAGAGGCGCTTAACTCATTTGTTCCCAACACTCCCCTTCGCTTCTGGAGTGTCGCTGATGGTGACGTGGCTTTGTCCAGTCAGCAGCATGCAGTACTCGAACTTCTGTTTTCCAAGTTTCTTGGTCAAGTAGTCAGCTGCCATCTCGGACGTGGGACAGTAGGATAGATCGAGTTTCCCTTTCTCGATTTCGTCTTTCACGAAGAAGTATCGCAGGGCGATATGCTTCGTCCTGTTCGCGAATCCGCTCTTGTTGGCGATGCGAATTGCAGATTGGTTGTCGCAGAACAAGGTGAAGTTGGGTAACTTGGCTAACTTCGCTTCTTCCAGCAGCTCGCGAAGGTAGAGTCCTTCCTTGGTGGCTGAGCAGAGGGCGATATATTCTGCTTCAGCTGAGGAGAGCGCAATTAATTCCTGCTTGCTCGATTGCCAGGAGATAGGTCCGATAGGTTCCAGGCGGTAGATGTAGCCAGTGCGGGAGCGCCTGTTATCTGAATCGCCGGCGTGATCGGCATCGACGTAGCCGATTAGTTTCGTCGGCGTAGTTGCGTCTTTGTGGTACGTCAGGCCGATCGTTGCGGTGCTCACGAAATAGTGAAGAGCACGGTCGAGTTCTGCTAGGTGATCTGCTTCGGGCCTCTTGAGGTAGGTAGCGAGTTGGCTAGCGGAGTAGGACAGGTCTGGGCGGCAGGTGACGGCTGCGAATGTCGAACTTAAAGTAGATTAAGTTGAAAGGTGAGGGGCCTAGGCTTAGTAGCCTAGGCCCTTAACTAGGTATCGAACGGGATTTTCACCTAGGGGAGAGTATCGAGTGAGTTGAGAGAAGTTGGGAGAATGTGTGGCTTCACTATAGTTTTGAAGTACATATAGCAAAGGCAACACATAAGGTGCACCACCAATACAAAGTTTAAATAACTACACTAACTACAGCTACAGGCAGTTACAAATATAAGTTGACACTCCCCCATAACTGCCTGCAGCAGGAGTATGTGCAGAATGCAACCTGCAGGTGTACACATGCAAAATAAAAGGTAAGCAACAGCAGGTAATGCAGGCGGGCTGACACTAAGTGGTCACCTCCTCCATCTCCTCACCCTCCTCCTTCCCCTCCCCCAAACTGCTGCAGGAGCAGCAGAGAAGGGGGGAAGAGAGGAGAGGTGGAGGGATGGCTGCATGTTGCCTCACACCCGCCACCCCGGTACCACTCCCCCTGCTCCCCCACATCCTCACACCCTCCCCCCCCAGCGGCAGCTGCAGCGGTGGGACTGAAAGAAGGAGGAGGGGAAGGGAGAGAGTTGACTCCACACTCCAACACCCTCCACCCCCATACCCTCCTCCCCACGGCTGCAGGGAGACAAAGGAAGAAGGGGGTGGGAAGGAAGAAAGCCGCAGAGCGGCGAAAAGGTGTCGGTGCAGATGGGTCAGGGGCGGCTTCAGGGAGAGCAGGGGCGGAAAGGCCCGTCGCGTGCCAGTGCCACGGGGCGCACGACGGGTAGTAGAAGAAAAAGGGCCCGATCGTGCGCCTAGGGGCGCACGACGAGCAGGGCACCATCGTGTGCCACGGGGCGCACGATGGGCAGATGAAGGGCACCGTCGCGTGCCACGGGGCGCGCGACGGGCAGAGTAGTAGTAGTCCCGTGGGCGGGACTAAGTAAAAATCGTCACGCGCCCTAGGCGCGCGACCGAGAAATCATAGCGGAAGCGTAGGGCGGGCCCACAGGCCAGGTCGTAAAAAGCTCTGATACCATGTCGAACTTAAAGTAGATTAAGTTGAAAGGTGAGGGGCCTAGGCTTAGTAGCCTAGGCCCTTAACTAGGTATCGAACGGGATTTTCACCTAGGGGAGAGTATCGAGTGAGTTGAGAGAAGTTGGGAGAATGTGTGGCTTCACTATAGTTTTGAAGTACATATAGCAAAGGAAACACATAAGGTGCACCACCAATACAAAGTTTAAATAACTACACTAACTACAGCTACAGGCAGTTACAAATATAAGTTGACAGCGAAGAGCAGACAGCCCAGTTTTCGCTGGTAGTCGCTTATTCCGGCGGTCTTAAGTAGGACGGAGCTTCCTTTGCCGTTTCCTGCCGTATAGCGGTATGGCGTGTGGATAGTAGTAGGTGTGAGTGCGAATCGTTTGGCGATGGTGTCGGCGTATTTTTCGGCGCTGAGATGAATCGCATTTTCTTTTTCGCAGATGTTGAGCCCGAGATACTGAGTGACGGTAGTGGATACTGTGATTGTGAGGTCCTTTTTCAGCTCCCCTTCGAACCAGGTAGCGATGTCGTCGGTAGAGCCGATGTAGAGTAGATCGTCGACGTAGACGATGAGCAGGATGTAGTTGGCGCCTTTGGTGAGTCGGTACATGCCTTGGTCGTGAGGCAGTTGGCGGAATCCGATGCGGATGAGGTGGGTGTGCAGGTGCTGTTGCCACAGCCGTGGGGCCTGTTTGATTCCGTAGAGCGATTTTAGTAGCTGGCAGACCTGATTGGGTTCCCCGTGGGTACCGTGAGGGAGCTCGACGAAGATTTCGGCGTCGACGGGTGCGTAGAGGAAGGCGTTGGCGACATCAATTTGTCGCAGTTTCTTCTTCTTCATGGCGGCGATTGCGAGGAGGATTCGGAGAGAGGTATGTCGGCTAACCGGGGCGAATGTCTCTGTGAAGTCCCGGCCTTGTTCCTGATCAAATCCTCGCACGACCCATCGTGCCTTGAACTTCTCAATTGTACCATCTGCTTTCGTTTTGATGCGGAAGACCCACTTCCCGGTGAGAATGGTCTTGTTTCTCGCTATGCTTGCTGGAACGACCTTCCAGGTGTTGCGTTCCTCCAATGCCTTTAGCTCTTTGTCCATGGCTTCACGCCATTTCTCCCTGTGTTCCCCCCCCCAGAGCCTGTTGAACTGTCGCAGGCTCTTTAGGAAAAGAGGAGCCATGGACTGCGGTGACGAGGCCGAGAATCTGCAGTTCGGTCTGTGAGTAGCGGGGGAGTGTTGGGTCCTCGGGATAAGCTGCTTTGTCTCCCGCTTCTGGGTCGGGTATGAAATTCGGTCCTACTCTTTCTGCTTCGTTGGTGTTGGCTGTTGCAGGTGTTACGTAACCGTTGTCGGCGAAGTGATAGAAGACTTCGGCGTTGGCACTTTCGCGAGGATTTTCTTCGTCCATGGGGACGTTGACGGAGCAGAACGGGAGAGGTCCGGCTTCTTCGGATGCGTTGTCGACGTTTTGCTCGTCCCAGTCTGCTTCGTCTACTGCTGAGGCGAATGCTCGGTCACCACGAAAGCCACCTGTGGGGTCCTGATTCTCGTGCAAGTTGGCAAGGTAGGTCTGAAGGGTGAGTCGTTCGTAGAAGATCACATCACGTGCTGCTACTGTTTCCTTTGAGTGGACATCGAAGATTTTCCACGCGTTGTAATTCTTTTCGATGCCGAGGTGTAGTCCCCACTGTGCGCGTTGTGAAAATCTTCCCGCTCGTGCCTCAGGTGGTCGGTACTGTACCATGCACCCAAAAACTCGTAACATTTTTGTGCTGCCTTGCTTCCCTGTCCACAGCAGATGCGGTGATGCGTTGTTCGGGAGTGAGGACGACGACATCAAGTTGTGCATCATGACAGCATGGTCCATTGCTGCATGCCATTGGTGGTTGGGTAGCCGCATGCCACGTAACAGTTTGCGCATGTTGTTCTGCAGAGTCCTGTTCATTCGTTCTGCGACACCTTGCTGCTGATGGGCGTAGGGAAGGGAGAGGAGTTGCTTGATTCCTCTTTCCGCCAGGTACTGCTTGAAGCGCTGAGAGGTGTATTCTCCTCCTCCGTCTGACTAGAAGCTTTTCAGCTGTGCTCCCGACTCTCGTTCTGCTACCGGTAGCCAGGCGGCGAACGCTGCGAGTGCCATGTCGCGGCTTGGTAGGTTTAGATGCCAGACATATCGAGTGGCGGCGTCGATGAAGGTAATTGTGTAGTTGTAGGTGACCTGTCCTGGTTCGCGATTGTAGAGGATGTCGCTGTACACCTTTTCGAGT